CTAGCTACCCAACTAACCATTGAGCTACCATCGTGATGAGTGTGAGGTGGGCATTTGTGGGTGGACTTGGGGGGGAAGAGAGGAACTCAGAAGAAGAAATATGTAAGTTGGGAACCCTGCATTTGCCCATGCGTTCATGTAGACAGTCATTTATGGTCGGGCTACCCCACACCGGGCACGGAGGAAACTGGAATCGGGCCGCCCTGGTCCGGCTCCCCTCTGTGCAGATCGGAGATCCAGTACATAGAGCACTTTCGGCAGGTCAGTGTTTCCTCCCTATTGCACAGGCTGCATGAGCATTTGAGGACTAACCTGGAGGAGCAGGGGATCAGGGAAAGCTTCTCCGAGGGAAGAGGAGGGGCACCACGCATGAGCGCAGCCAATGCACTGACTGGTGGGGGTGGGGGCTGTGTGGGCACGCTGGTGGGGGTAGCGTGGAGATGTGAGCAGGACTCCCTTCCTTGTCCTCATGAAGTCTCCAGTCCAGTTGGGAAGCAGGGCCAAACACATTGTGAATAATTACAGTTGCATCTGTCATGAAGGTGAGGGGCTCATGGGAGGGCCTGATGAGCGGACCATTATATGAAGATGGAACAAGCCAGTGATAATCATGAATATAAAGTACCTACTCGGGGTGCCTGGCTGGCTCAGTCAGAAGAGCATGCGACTCATGATCTTGGGGTCGTGAGTTCGAACCCCATGTTGGGTGTAAAGATTACTAAAAATAATAATAATAATAATTAACGTTTAAAAAAATAAAGCACCTGCTAATGTCTGAGGGGGAAAAAAGGATTTGACCAATATTTAGATTGATGTTTTGGACCCACACTTATGACTTCTGTCTTGGAAATGGCAGTGTGGTCCACCTGGCTGGTCTTTTCCTCGTTCCTGGATTAATGTAGAGAAAGGAGATCCCAATCCACTCAAGTCTGTCTTCTTTTCTTTCTTTCTTTTTTTTTTTAAGATTTATTTATTTATTTATTTGACAGAGAGAGAGAGAGAGACAGTGACAGAGGGAACACAAACAGGGGGAGTGGGAGAGGGAGAACCAGGCTCCCTGCCCAGGGATGCCGGGCTCGATCCCAGGACCCCCGGGATCATGACCTGAGCCGAAGGCAGCCGCTTAACCGTCTGAGCCACTCAGGCACCCCTAGTCTGTCTTCTTTAAAGGAAAAAGAAAAGTAACTTCCTGCAATAACAGGTTTAGTCATAAACTGTTCATGAACGTCATCTGCCTATTTTAAAGAAAGACGCGGAAAGGTAAACTCTTTGCAGAAATACAAAACCCTAGAGCAGTGATTCTCATCTTGGCCTTGCATCAGTGAAACACAGATCCCGGGCCCACGGTGAGGACGTGAAGAGGTAAAGGGAAGAGGGAGGTGGGGAATGAAGAAAAGGTGGGCAAAGGGAATTCAGAGCAATAGGAGGAAAAGGGAGAGGAAGGACAAAGAAGAAGGCAGCAGAGGGAGAGGACAGGAGAGGAAGAGTGAGGCCCAGGAAGAGAACAGAGAAGCAGGAGGAAGAAGATGGGAGTGAATGAGCAAATTGGTGAGTGAATGTGCTGAAGCCCTTCCGTCCTTGTGCCCCGGACGAACTCCTACTCGTCCTACAAAACCCAGCTTGAAGACCTTCTCCCAGGGGCCTTCCCTGACCGCGCCCACGATATCACAGCCTCCCCCTTAGCACTTGTCACACTGGGTTCATTTACTGACTCCCTGCGTGTGGCTGGCATTGCCCCAAAGACCACGCATGACATCTCACTGAATCCTCACTGCAGCCTTATGAGCCGGCGCTAGTGTTTCCCTCATCTCAGGGGAAACTGAGGCACAGAGCGTCTACTCTAAGCCATACGTCTGAGTGGCAGGATGCGGCTTTGCCATTTGCTTCCAGGGACAGTGGGAGAGACGGTGATTTGGAAGCACCTTCCTCATGCAAAGAATCGGCGCTGTTTGTTTCCCCTCTCAGCAAGCTTTGCGGAGGAGAGCTGCAGAAAGGAACAGGACTGTAAGACCTGTCGCTGCTCTGTCACTGTCCAGTGAGATCTCGCTCTGCGGAGCCTCGGTTTCCCCATTGTCCCGGGAGAGGCCCTGAGGCCCCGCCCAGCTCTGGCGGTCGCTGTGACTGACAGGGCTTGGCTCCAATCAGGGGCCGAACAGCTGACCGCCGGGCGAGGAGCCCTGAGGATGGCGCTCTGCTGACACCTGGTGGCTGGAGGCGGGATTGCGCCTAGGGGACGGCCCTGGGGGGACCTGAGCGGAGGCAGAGGGGTCCACGCTTGGAGGTGTTGGCGGAGTGGGGAGAGGGACCCACAGAGCTCAGCCCCCGCTTGACAGAGAGAGGGGGCGAGGATGAAGGGGAGGGTTAGGAAAAGAAGCAGGAGATAGAAATAAACAGAGAGAAACAAAGAGAAAGAGGCAGTGATAGCAGCAAAGATAAAGCTAGGTCCCGAGAGAGACAGAGAGAGAGAAAGATAGAGAGAGATAGAGGAAAATAGAGAGAGATAGAGAGAGACAGAGAAACACAAAGACAAATAGAAACCATCAAAGCAACATAGGAGGAGAGTGACCCCAACCGGCCATCCTGTCCAGCCTTGTTCTTTCACTGAGGAGGATGAGGGGCTCAGAGAGCGCCCCACTCATGGTCGTGTGGACCCCGGCTATCTGTTCCGCCTTGTCAAAGCCCATTCCCCATGTCTTCTTCCCCATGGCAGAGTGTGTTTTGTAAAGATGGCCACCGTAATAGATCTCCTCCCATACACTGACCTTCCTCTCTTTACTGGTGGGGACTTTGTCTCCTCCCCTCCAACCTGGGTCTACCTATGTGACCCCCCCTTCCAATAGAGTATGGAAGAAGTGATGCTGTATGACTTCTGAGGCTATGTCTTAATGCCATGAAGCTTCTACCTTCCTCTGGGGACACTTGCTTTTAGAACCCAGCTACCATGCTGTGGGGAAGTCAAGTGGAGTGTCCACGTGTGTGTGTGGGGGGGTCCTGATCTGAGAGCCATAGTTGAGGTCCCAGCCAACAGCCAGCACCAACACCCAGCCATGGGACTCACCCCCGGGCTTTGAGCTACCCTAGATGACTCCATTTGGAGCAGAGATGAGCTGTCCCCACTGGGTCCTGCCCAAATGACACATGTGAGCAAAACAAATGATTGTTGTTGTTTTACCACTAAGTTTTGGGTAGGTTGGTATGTAGGAATAGATGAGTGGGAACCCTCTTGGTGCCACCTACCACACACATCATCATCATCATGATCTTCATCATCACCACCACCATCATCATCATCATGCCATCTCTCAGGACCCTGTGCTTAGCCAACTTTCAAAGTTTCCATGCCCTGAAGTGCCCATTATGCCTAAAACACTGGAACACACAACGCGCTTTCTTGCATCCCTAACTTTGCATATTCTGTTCCCTTTGCCAAGATTTTTCTCCCCAAGATTCGCCTGGAAAATGTCAACTCTTCTTTCAACACCCTCACTTCTTTGGGAGGTGTGATGCCCCAGGCAGTATCCCTGCCTTCTCTTGGTGTCCTTGGCCCCTTCCTCTTGCCATCACTGCATTAGTGTCCTAGGGATGCTATCGCAAAGTGTCCCAAACAGAGTGGCTGAAACTGCAGGAATTTATTCTCTCACAACGCTGTGTGCTGGCAGTCCAAGGTCAAGGTGTCAGCAGGGTTGACTCTCCATGAGCATATATGCCAATCCAATATGAGACAGAGGTAGCATTGTTCTGCAGTGGGGGAAACGGACTTCTCAAGAAATGATTCCAGGGCGCCTGGGTGGCTCAGTTGGTTAAGCGACTGCCTTCGGCTCAGGTCATGATCCTGGAGTCCCGGGATCGAGTCCCGCATCGGGCTCCCTGCTCGGCGGGGAGTCTGCTTCTCCCTCTGACCTTCCCCCTCTCATGCTCTCTCTCTCTCATTCTCTCTCTCTGAAATAAATAAATAAAATCTTTAAAAAAAAAAAAAAGAAATGATTCCAGCACCACAGTGGCCCGAAGTGGAAAAAGGGAGATCCAGAAAGAACCTAGATCCCCGCCACGCGCTGTACACAAAAACCAGCTCCAGAAGGATTGAGAACTTACATGTGAGGAGCACAACTTGTGAACTTTCAGGAAAAAAAAAAATATTGGAGGATATATTTGTGACCTGGGGTTAGAAAGAATTTCTTAAAGAAGAGAGGGGAGGTGCAGACCATAAAGGAACAGATTGATGTTAGACGACATCAAAATTTAAAACCACTACATCAAAAGATACTGAATCCAAAGTGAAAAGAAGCTGCCATCTGGGAGTGGATATTTGTACTACAGATAACCAGCAAATGATGACCAGTCATCTAGAGAATGCCTGAGTTATCTCATTTCATCTCCACCAAAACCAGATTAGGGAGGTGCTATTTTTTTCCCAGGTACAAAGATGGGGGCTCTGAGATGCAAATTGACTTGTCTGAGGCCAGATCACTGGTCAGGGCTCTGGAACAGCCATTAGAATCCAGGCCGACTGTGATGCTAAGTGATCAAGCCCACCAAATGATGCACAGAGGGAGCAAGGAACACACAAAGGCAGAAACATGTAATTAGGACTTGTCTCTGGGACGGGCTGAGATTGCAGGGTTATTGGTTCCTCTGGCCGATCTAAGAAAACTGCCAGGCTCAAGGTGATTGCACACTAATGTGGGAATGGCAGGCAGCAGATTTATTTTTAGGGGCTGGAGCATCCTTCAGGTGCCCCCGCGAGTGGCGGTTCTCAACAACCATGGAAAAAGGAGCTAGGAGGTCAGCCAAGCCAGCCACTCCTGGGGCAAAAGCAGTTGTAAGCCGGGCAAAGAAACAGAGGCTCAGAGAGGTTGGACATTATGCCCCAGGTCACACAGCCAAGTAGCTCTAGAGTCTCCGTGAGGGCTCTGCTGACTTACCCCAGCCCAGACACGCACACACGCGCGCACCCAACACCCACTCCAGTTCCCATTGGAGATAAAAAGCAATGCAACACACAAATTGCAAGTCACACTTTATTCACTCGCCAGGAGGTCTGGGGGGGGATCCTGGGCAACAGACCAAGCCCCTGGGAAGGAGGAAAAGGGGGGCACTAGTTGGAGGGGTGGAAGGCTCCCCGTTGGTGCCACTGCATGTCGCGGATGCGACGCACGGACTGCACCTGGGGTTGGGGAGCCCCAAAGTCCCCGCTGTCCTTGTAGTCTCCCTTCTCCAGCAGGTACTGCAGGCCGCGATAGCCGGGGTACTGGTAGCCGACCCACCTGCAGGCCAGAGGTGAGGAGGGGATGTGGAGGACAGAGGAGAAGCAGACGAAGAGAGAGAGAGAGAGGAGAGCATCCTTAAGCCATCAGGAAGGGGGGAGTTCCCAATCATTTCTCACTTCCTGATTGTTGAGCAGGAACACCAGCCTTCTGGCATCCGGTCTCTGCTTTCTTCCTTCTCTTGATGGGGAGCTCACTATCTACTAAGCAGCTTTTGACTGAAGGCCTGATCCTGGGCTCAGAGGGAGGGGTGATCTCAAGCCCACTGAAGCCTAGAATAAGACAGGTCTCTTAACTGCCTCTCTCCATCCTCATCCCAACGCCATGCCTGGCTGTAAGGCCAAAGGAGAATAGGCTAGGTCCTAGGAGCCCTCTGTAATCCCTTTGTCATGTGAAGTCATCACCATTTATGGAGGGGTCCTTCACTCTTTGGAGCACCTAATGAAAGTTACAGTTTCTTCCCCCCAAAATGTTACAAAGTCCTGGCCAACAAGGACCTGCCTGGCCAACACCTGTGTGCACCTGCAGGTCTACCTCTTGGTCTTGTGTCCTTATATCTCTGTGCACTAGCAGTCTAGAGTTTGTAGAGTCCCTCAGACTCACCAGGCTCCTCCAACCACAGGGCCTTTGCCCATGCTGTTCTCTGTCTAGAATGACCTTCCTTCCTCTCTTTACACTTGCACTTCCTACTCTTTCTTGGGATCTGAGTTCAAGAGTCCCTTCTAAAGGAAGGAAGTCCAGGTTTATGGTGGATTCTTAAATTATTAACCATTGACCCCAACTAGGCTGTTAGCTCTACAGAGCAGAAGCCAGGTCTCTTTAATCTACCTTGACATACTGAGCACCGAACATGATGCCTGGCACATGGTGGCACTCAACACATTGAATAATGAATGAATAAATAAATGAAGAGGATCACGAACACAGAACTTTCACACTATTTTAGGAGCCCGATGAACCCCAGAAAGTCAGTACATGTTGGTAAACCAGCTCTCTGGAGGGAAAGGGGGTCTTGATTTGTAACATATTTCTGTGGTGTAAATACTTCCACTACGACCGATTTTCGAGCTACCGAGGATTCAACAGCCAGCTCACAAAAATTCTGAAAATTGAGGAATCGGCTCTTGCAAGTTGGTACAAGCTGGCTCCAGCTCACCACTGCCCGTGGCCCACGTGCGAACCCCCAGAGAATCGAAGTTTTGCACAAGGAGAAATTCCCATGGGTGATGGCCAGAGTCTATGTACCAAGGAAGTTTAATTCAATGGGAAATGACACATCCTGTTTCTAAACTCAGGGACTCATGCAGTAAAGAAGCAACGTGGGCTGGACTTCCTGCCACTCACAGCTCTGTTAAGACCACTCAACTCATCTCTACCCTTCCGTTCCCCCTGCCTCTGCCTCATCTGCACCCCACTAATGTTCACAGTCCTGCTCCTGGGGACTGAGGTTAAGGTCACGCCTTCTCTCCCCAGAGGTAGGGTATTGGCCAAAAGGCAGATCTGGATGGGGCCACTGGGGCTGAAAGCCACATACAAGCTCATGATTTCCATGCCCATTTCCCAAAGGGAAGACTGAGGTTGCAAGTACACGAGATCAGCTGGGTCCAGGACAGAGCGGGACTCAGGACCCCAGCGGTCTGGGCTCCTGGGGCAGGGGGAGCCGGGGCCGGGTCTCTACTCACGTGCCACTCTGTACCCGCACCGACGACACTTTCTCCTGGTAGCCGTGGGCATGGAAACTGGGCACATCATCGTCTATGATTTCCATCTTCTTCCCCGTGAAGTTGGGGTTTTCGTAGAGGATGATCTTGTGCTCTTGGCTGTCCTGTTGATAGGGAGCGGGGAAAGTGAGTGCGGGAGAGGAGGCCAGGGTGAGCTTTCCCACCCGTCCAGATGCCCCAGCATTGGGATCAGCACAATCCACCTATAGACTTCTTGCTCTGTAACCCTGCCACCCAAGTGTCTCCAACAACAGCAGTTAAACACGGGCCATTTGTTGGGGTCCCACTGGGCTGTCTTCATGTGACACTTCAGAGTCTACACTTTAAGGCACATTCAATTCTGATATGTCATTTTCCCTCAGCTCCCTATAAAAAAAAAACAAAAACAAAAACAAAAATGGCAGCCATGATCTACATGCTGGTAGGGGCCCCAAGCAGGCACTTGAGATATTTTGGCTTTCCTTCCTTGCCACACTTCTTCTCATCCTCCTGTTCCTGTGATATCTTTCTTAGTCATCCCCTTTAATCCTTTAAAGACTCCTATGCAATCTGGCAGATGAGAAAACCAAGGCTCAGAGAGGTAAAGCCGCCTGCCCAAGGTCACACAGTCGGGAGCGCCAGGGACCCAGGTCCATGGGATGCTAAGTCCAAAGTTCTCCAATCTTCCATCAAGCTCTGGGGAGAGCTGGCCTGCCTTGGGGAGGCTTGGGAGTGGACCTGAGCATTACCGGGCCCCGGGCCCTCCCTAAGAGTTCACGTTCTAGTAAAAGTCAGGATCAGAGAAGCACCAGAAGGTCCCACCGGCATGAGTTATGAACACGAGCTAACCCACCTTTTCCTCCACACCCAATCCCAGATTTTCTTTTCACAGTTAGGATGGCTACCATTCATCAAGCAATTGCTCTGTGATGGGTTCTAACCCTAGGAATCTCAGGGCAGTAGATCTGAATATCCCCATTTTACAGATGGGGAAACTGAGGCCCAGGGACGTGTACGACTTATGCTAGGTCACACAGCCAGGAAGTGTGCCCCGCCCGTCAGAAGTTCGCACACTGCCGGAGGTGAAGGCTCCATCCTGATCCCTAGAGCCCCGGCTCCAAGATGGCAAAGAGAGGAGACAGCAGGAAGCGGCAGGAGACTCACCACTTTGATGGGCCTCAGGGAGCTGAGGGAGTCTGTCCTCCGACTGCTGGTCCATGAGTCCCAGCGGGGGTACTCGCCCTTCTCGAACACAAACTGCTCACCCTTGCAGTTGGCTTGTTCATAGCCGACCCAGCTGCAGGGGAGACAGAGAGAGGGCAGGGCAGGTCAGCTCCGAAGCTTCTCCTGGCAGGACCCTGGCTAGTCGCTTGAGCCCCCGGGGCTCACACCTGCCCATCTCCCCCATCAAACTCCAGACACCTCCAAGTCATCCAGAACTCAATTGGGAACCATCAACAATCCTTAATAAAAATATCAATAGTTCTATTTCTTAAAAAAAAAAGAAAGCAGAGGGGGGTCAAGTCCATGTGAGAAATTCGTCCATCCAAATGTTAACATAAAAAGGCAACTGAGAATCAGATACAGTGTTTAAATGGCCAAAACGTCACTTGCCGGGGAAGACGTGCTCCCGGGCGCACCAGATGCCCAGAGCGTGTTGGATAACGGAGGTCGGACGGGGCCGTTCCTTCCACTGGGTTCTCCATACCCTCAGACTCTGACTCGAGTGACATCATTGCACTCTGCAGAATTCCCTGAGAACCTTGAGCTGTGGGGTGGGTCACCCGGGATCCCCAACCCCACCAGGATCCCTGACCTCTTGGGAGGGGGTCACGGGTGGCCACCCCTGATTCCTGAGGCTCTTGCAGAGAGGGAGAGGTCAGGGAACCACAAGGACAGGCCCCTGCGGGCTGTGCTGAGCTATGTGCCATAAGCAGGGCAGAGTCATATCCTACCAGGTATGTCCCCTTCTCTCCGGGGTCAGGGACCCAAGGCTGCTGGCCCCCAAATGTGCCAGTGAATCTGCTGAGATCCAGTATGGCCAGGATTGGGGAAGGGGATTGGGGAAGGACATCTGGCTTTAAACCTCACAAGAGAGGGAAGACACTCCCAGAGCCAGAGATTGGCAATTCTAGAAAAGTCCATGAGAGTCACTGTGTCACCTCCCTGCCTTGAGGAAGTGGCTGGCCTTGGGGTAAGGCTTTTTCCACAGAGGAGGAAAGCCAAGGCTCAGAAAGGGAAGTTGTTGGCCCAGCGTCACACAGCCTGAAAGTGGTGGAGCTTGGATTTGAACCCACCTGTATCTGACCCCAAAGCACAAATTCTCTCCAGAGGCTGCCAGCCACCAAATCGCACGTTTCAGGGTCACAAGGAGGGCAGATCCCCCAGCGCCACAGCCCAAGTGCTCCACCCTGGTGGCGCCCAACCACGTG